ACCGGGGGAGCTCTGCTCTGTGGGAAACACAAATGTTTTGGGATGTGGTTTCTTCCCAGCTGAGACAAACTACGAGTGGCTTATAGTACTGTACAGAATGGATGTTTAGATTTGTATCCATGTCAACGTTTCGTGGTGGGAAGAGAAAAATTTCCCTCTGCTTGTGGCATATGCTAAGCAACAAGTGACAGGAAATGTAATATGTAGTCTTCTCATCACGTAATTCATGCAGTTTATGAACATAAAAGGAGAACAGAGAATGATCTTATTTGACTTAAGATATAGGTGAAAGCAAAACCAGAAGAGAAACATATCACTTTAGATTTTTTTTTTTACTCATCCCCACAAAATTCTCATGTCAGTAAAGCTCGCCATGCCAGTAATGAGACAGTTTGTGCTCTGCTTTCCAACCTCTACCCCAGGCTGCTGTGCCTGATATCCCGGTGGATGTGTACCGGATGTGTACTTGGGGTCCTCCCTCGGAGCCCAGCACAGGGGCAGAGGCACCAGGGCAAGAGCCAGGAGTTTGTGGGGAGCTGGAGGACCAGGCCTCCCCACCACCATCAGCTCTACAGAAACAACAGAGTAGAAGTTGGTGAGCCTCTGGGGGCAGATAAACGAAACTGATAATGGGCCCGTTTACAATAGCAAATAAAAAAGTTCATTGTAAATACTGAAGGGGCGTGCGAGCGGTGGTGGTGGTAACTTCTGATGAAAATCTTGGTGTAGTTGAAAAAAACCCTCTAGATTATAGACACGTGCAGAGTAAGTTCGTGTCCCTTTTTATGAGTTACTGCAATTAATTTCAAAATTAGCAAACAAGAAGCGTTCATGTGTACCTCAGCTGTCGGATATGGTGTCACTGACCGATATCTTCAAAACCACTTCCTTAACACTGACCAACCAAATTCCAGTGGTGCTATAAGATCCAGAAGTGTAGGTATTTCTACCAGCAGGTGGGGAAGAGTGAGATGCGCCATGGACTGCCATAGGTAAACACACAGAACTGATAACAGAAGTGGGCAAGAAGAGCAGCATCCCCCCTTTCTGTATGAGGTGGAAGCAGAATTTGGCGATGTGTCATTGTGGAGGCTTGGATTAGCGTTTGGGTGTTGCTCATGCCTTTGGCCAGGCTGCTCAGTGCTTCGGTGCAATCAAACCCTGCCTGTACGAGGCCAGTGGTGGTAAAGTCCCTCCTGAGCATATGCAGTGCTCTGCTCTTGGTCTCTGGTGTAAAACAGGCTGGGAAACGACGTCATCATTGGGTGGGGACCTTGTGACCTTTGACAACCAGCAACTGCATCTTGCATTGGTTTTGTTCACAATGAGCGCTGCGTTTCCTCTCTGCAAGATTACGTGACTCATCTCTCAGGCAGGGGATGTGGCTGGACGCAGCAGGGGAGTCTTTACTGAGAACCTAAAAGGCCCTTAGGTGAAGCCCTTTTAAATATTTGTACTTTTCCAGCAAGCAAATGGTGGCAGGTGTTGTGTTAATTATATCAAGATTAATTTGACTGGGATGTGATCTGTTAAGAGATGTCTCTGGGCTGTGCAGGACCACTGGGAAGTGCAGCATCTTTCTGGCTGGCCTCTCTCGAATGCCACTTGTGTGGCTCCAGGCTGGCTGATGGGCTGAAGTGGAGCTCTTGGCCAACTCTAGGACTGAGAGACTCTTACCTCCAGCCCTCTTGATCACCAGCGTGCAATGTAGCTGAATCACAGGGCCATCCACTATTGATAGGGACTAAAGAAACTGTTCCCTGCCTCCTGTATCAAAGCAGACTGCCTGGAGGGCAAAGGATGTCTGATGATAAGGAAGATGAGAGCAGGGGGTGGGGGGCAGAGACACCCCCCCTAAAATGTTCAAACAAGGCTGAACCCATCAGGAACTGGATAGCAATTACAATCAAGAAGCATGTGAAAAACCCAGAGCAGTTCTGCCTATGCATGCTGATGGCATCGTTGGCTTCTTCATGGGGGTATTTCCCAGGAGGTGGGATTTCAGCCCCCAACAACACCTTGTCCCTGGGGTTCCCCCAACCTCCCATCAGCCATGAGGGCATGAGGGGCCCGACTTCATCAAATTGTTCATTACTTTTGCAAGTTTAGGTACCTGACTATACCCCTCACCTCTCAGTGCACCTACAGATGTGTGCTTGACAGCTTGGCTCCTTCCCCAGGAGCTACCATTGCCATCTCCTTTGGTCCACACCTCCCGTCGCCTTCAAGCTTTGCTCAGAGAAGGGGCCATCCACTGGCACCATGCCTCTCCTTTGCTTGGGGAGCTGGGTTTGGACCTGCTGGGCTGTGACCAGGGATGCCTGATATCCTGGCTGGAGCTGGCTGTGGGTCTGCATGCAGTGAGTGGGATGATTTGTGGCTTTTGCCTTCACTCTTCACGTGGGGGCTGGAGGGGTGGGTGTTGTGAGGATGGGGTGAGTCTCTGCCTCTTGGGAGATGGGAATACGTGGCCTATGCCCACTTGATTTATGGGCATTTTGGGACAGGGGCTGGTCCTGGTGCATGGGGAGACATCTGTAGCCTGCTTGTGCAAAACGTTAATGGTAAAGGAAGGTTCCCATCTGTAGAGGCAGCAGATACAGTTGGCTAACGTCAGCTTATTTTTAATTGATTTATTTTTCTGGTTAGCATATTCCATGCCACACTTAGCCAATATCCATGATAAAATATTGGATGGGGCTATAGTATAAAGCATGTATTTTATAGCTGGTATTGGAAATGAGGGGAAAAAGCAAATCTTGGAACCTGAACTCTATGCAGAATTTTTAACACTCACCTAACCTGATGACAGCTACTGATAGTTTTAGTATTGTCTGACACTATAGGAACTAGGTGTATTACAGACCGAGAATAACTTGGAGGCAATTTTCAGTGAATCTTTTGGAATTGCAGATACAGTACATTGAAGAGAATTATCTGCTCCTGTATCATATGCAAATGGAATAAAGAAATACAGTTTAGTGGCTATCCTCTTGCCAGCATTGCTGTCTCAGCTTTGGTTCATACACGTTCCTCTTTGAGGCCAAAACATACTTTCCCAAAACTAAGGAGTAAAGCAGTTTTAAAAGGGTTTTTTTGATGCTAAAAGAGTTTATGTTGCCCTCCTGTGAAAGCTTTCCATCGCAA